AGTTAGTTATATACAGTTATTGTATGTAGTTATATATAACTATTCACCTTTGGAATAAGAAAAATATTTAAAATAGTAAGTCTGAGAGCAAAGAAAAACAGATCTAACTTGCAAAATTTATCAGCTTAGAATATGTTATACAGTCATCCCAAGACTGAGCCCTCCCCCTGCCTTTAAAGCTCCTGTTTCCCTCTCCTGACACCCTGGATCCCAGGCAGCCTGACCAACAGGTAAAGGCTGAGGCTCACATGGTTCCAGGTATATCTCATGGGAGCTTGGAGGAGGGGCACATCCCATCCTCCATCCTTCAGGTTTTTCCCTCTTCCCCATCACAGGCCCTCCTGGCCCATCTTCAGGACTAGCTGCCAGGATGTGGGCTGTGCCTTTCTCCCCCTGTGTTCTTAGAGGATACCACAGCCTAGAGGAAGGGATCTGCCACTATGTATTCCCCTCCCTGATTCAAGGCCTCATTTTGTCCCTTATTGTCTATGTTCAACCCTGGTTCCTCTTCTGCTGTAACGCATCCCATGGATCCCTGTCACTGGGGATAATAATAATTCCATGATCAGGCTCTGTGAGAACCCGCAGGAGCGCGGGAGCTCCAGTGGTCAGCAAGATAGGCGGTCAGGTCTTAGACACAGAGCCGTCCCGCTCCACACAGCCACTCCTACCCAACTCCCTCACGTCCCCAAGGTCCCCAAGGTCCCCAAGAGTCCTGGCTGGATCCTGGGGAGGCTCAGGCAGAGGTGACAGCAGAATTTATTCCTGGGAGTCTGCTAAAGTAGATGGTATATTGGGGCGAGTCTAGAGGACCAGGGTTGTTATTTGCTGGCACCCAACGGCTCCACCCGCAGCCACAGCCCGCCCTCAGCGCGCAGGATCAGCTCAGGTTTCCGCCACGGCTCTACGTGGTCAGGCAGCACTCGGAAACGCAGCAGCGTCAGCGTCAGAACCACCTTCATCTCAGCCATAGCGAACGTCTGCCCGATGCAGTTCCTGCGGTTGGTGGTGTGGGGAGAGAAATACGACTGGCCCAGGACACCCATCCATAGCCCACCACACCTGGAAACTGGCCCAGGACCCCTACCACCATCCACATTAGCTGGAGGAACAGAAAGGTGGTGCTAATTGCGCCTGAGACTCCAATGTGGAGTCTTTATTCTCTGAGCTTCGTTCAGACATCAACCTCCAACTCAGAATACCAGCCAGGGATGGGGCTCCGAGCAACATGACCCTCCTTGGACCTGCTCCCTTTTCCTAAAATCTTGACCTAACTTCTCCCAGAGCAGTAATTCTGACCCCCTTAGAACACACTTCCCCGCTACTCTGTCCTAGGGGGGGTCTGACAGCCTCCCAGACCCCTCATCCCATCCGTGTTAGATATTCACAGGCCTCACCTGGGTCCTGCAGAGAAAGGAATAAAAGCCAGGGGTGACCTCTTCTGGGGGGCAAGGAGACACAAGATTACTAGGGGGCTTCCTTAGCACAGCCAGCTACCCCCAGAAAAGACACATGAGGGTACTGTGCAGGAGGAGTGTCTTTTTCCCAGACATGGCCCCACACCCTCCCCCGGACATCCCTAGATGGAGAATGGAGAAGGGCAGTACCTCAGGCTCAGGACAGACTGAAGGATTGTGATGAATCCCGAAGATACTAATGACACAGGTGTTCCCTGTGGGGCAAGAAGGGGCAGTCAGAACGAGGTCCCCACTGCCTGATGGGCCCCCTCCTGCCCAGGACCTCCTCCCCGCTGCTATGAGCACCTTTGGGGATGACCCGGCCATCCGGAAGCCCTATGTCCTGGGTACAGCAGCGAGAGATAACAGTGACTGGAGGATGTATCTGCAGACTTTCCTTGATGCACATGGTCAGGAAGGGCAGCTGGGCCAGGTCATCCCTAAGAAACACCCCCCACCCCAATAATCAATGTGCCAGCAAAGAATCCACCCAATGACAGGCACTCTTTTACCATCTCTCTTTGACCTTCACGACCTACAATAATATAAATTCTAGAAGAATTAAAGCTTTGCACATTAGAAAATCAAAAGCACAAAAGTACTAGAGGACTTCGGTGCTTCCCTGACCGGGCAGCACAGGTGCACAGGCACCGGGGAAGGTGTGGGTGTTATCGCACAGGGGAGGCCCCAGCCTGGTAGACAGACAGACTTTGGGCAAACGTAAGACTTTAGCCTTCAACGTTGTGTACTTGCTTTTTTGAAGGATTGAGTGGCTGGGGAGTTGTGGGCATTTTGAGCTTCTGCCCGCCTGCTCTTGCCTGCACTCGGCTCCCACTCCGGGACTGTGCCTGCCCATTGCTGAGCTTGGAGCATGGGGCTTGAGTGGATCCTTTTGGAGGGCGGGCGTGCCCAAAGAGCCAGTGGGGCCACAGGAACTGGCATGGTCCTTTGTGAGGAGGCAGGAGCCTCATTGCCACAGGAGGCATTGTCGGCGTGGATGTAGGGTGAGTCGGGTGCCCATGGCACAGGGAGACAGAGAGAGGCATTTTTTGATGTCGTCAGACAGGGATGCCATCTGCCTGCAGCCACTAACCCCTCCCTCCACCCCCTCTGCCGAGGCTAGCCCTCTGCCCAACCTCCAAGGTGCAGGCCTGTGCATCAAGGCACAAGCCAGCACAAACTGAGATGCCTTGAGGTGGTTTTTATCACCACCAACAAGGGAGTCCTGTTGTGGCTCTGCAGGTTAAGACACCAGACTGCAGAGCCTTTTGAAC